CGGAGTAGGGGCCAGTCCTCTGGAAGCAAGTGGACTTGATGGAACATCCCACGTATGTCACTGCTAATGGCAACAGCATGCTCCCGGAAACGCAGCAGAACGGCAAGCAGTGACTTGCCCAAAGTAGGTCCAGGGAGGAGCAGCTTGTTGAGATTCTGCGCCTGGTATTCAAATCAACAGTTGAACACAACCCTGTTCTTGCCATTGTGTTGAACCATGTGGTGTGGTATGTACCAGCTGGTGGGAGTGAGTTCTGTACCAGGTTCCAGTACCACCACAAATCCAGCCTCTACTAGTCTCTGAATCTCAGCTATGTAGGCTGAGGCTTGCTCTGGGAATTTAGTCAGTCTTTTTTCAGTGTTTCGAAGTAGGGGGAGCACTGACTCCTTGGGCGATTGGAGTTGGGGCATCTGGGAAACATGCAGTAGGGGGGTGGCATAATGTTTTACTGCCTCAATGTCATGCCGTTCAGTCTTTGTCTTAAGGAGGTCAAGTGCAAACTGATCCTGCTAGGATCTGGTGCTGGTCTTGTGACTAGGCCATGGGAGAACATCCATCTGCCATAGATGCTCCACATGCTGGAACAGATCATCGGTTGCAGGTCTAGTGATGATGAAATAGCACTGCAATGATGAGCTCCATTGTTTTACTTTCTGGGCAGCCCCCTGCCGTGTCCAGCCTAGACGGTCTTGACTGTAGCCGGCCCACCAGGGAGGCCGAGGCTCAATGGGGGTGATATGATGGGGGTAGTCAGATCCAATGAGCAGCACTGGGTGAACTTGCTCTATTTTCTGCAGTGGCAGACCCTGAAGACGCTGATATTTTGTCAACATCATGTGGACAGGCTGTGTGTGCTCAGCAAATCCCAGGTATCTAAATAGAAGTAGGGTGAATTGACAAGAGTCCATCACCAGTAGGGCCTCTTCTAATTTTAAGTGGTCACAGAGGATCTGGTACTTGAACCTCTCCGAGGTATCCCTGGGGAGGAGGTTCTCCAGGGCAATCCTCAGCCTGGCAAAATCCCTTGGATTGGGATGGCTAAAGTCCGGAATGGTTGGTGTAGGAGTACGACCACTCCTGACGACCGACAGGACTGGGAGTCTGGTATCTGAAGTGACAGCATGGAGGAGACTCATACTGGCACTGTGTGTCAGGGGAGGTAGCACGGTATCTGTCACGGGGATGCCCGCGGAAGTGGGTGAACTGTCTCTCAGAAGAGTACCAGCTGGCAGAGTGGCAACTGCTATATCTCTACGATGTACGGCTGTACTCTGGGGAGCATGCTGGACGTCTTGCTGGTGAGTCGCGGAGTGCAAGAGAGTAATGGTGTCATCTGTCTGGCTGGCTGGTGTATGCATGCCTGGCTGAAGGCAGAGAGGACAGTCCACGGCCCCTGGATGGGTCTGGAGAGGGACTGCGCTGTGGTGACGGACTGGAGTGTGGATCGGATGAAGGGCTGTGCTCTGACCTGTGATGGTTGGGTGAACTGCTCCGGCACCTCCTACTGGACCGGCCTGTAGGATATGGCTGAGATCCTCACTCTGGGATGCGGCATTTCACTGGATCTGCTCCAGCCTCTGGTTTCTCTGCTTAGCCTTCTCCTCAAGCTCTCGGTTCTATATCTGCAGATCTTTGAGAGCTGAGAGACAGGTATCTCCCTGCTCCTGGTCTGGTGGGAGCAGGTCCCTGGGCCTGGGGCTTGCCAGGGGCATAGCAGGCTGGGCCAGTATCTGGTCTGGTCCATATTCCTCTTGTGCCACAGCTGGTGTGACAGTAGTCCGGCGGCTGGCACCGGTCAGGTCAAAGTCCTGCAAGTGCAGAGGAAGGGAGATGTGCCTCTTGGATCTTCTCGCAGTTGACACTGTGCTGCAGTAGGCCAATATCCGGCTCAAGAGACCATGTAAAATATACTAAGAGGTGCTGTCTGTATTAACCCGCTGCAGGGTGCCCTTGGAAGGATCAGACAGATGTCTTGAATAAGTGTGTATTGAGTATCCAGTATTAGCAGAAAATGGTGTATATATGTGGTTCTGTGGAAAACAAGGCATAAAAAATTTGTATTACATAACTATACAACTATACATAATAAAACACATGGATATAAATAAACAAACTCTAAACACAGCAGTGAACAATAATAGAAGTGAATAAAAAAGGCAGTAATAAACAGAATCTGCATTAGTTATGCAGCCATAATAAACTGAACAAGCCGCTCTCCTGACTCTACTGCACCTTTAAGAAGCGCTGTACCTACAGTCACGCTACCTCTCCGAGTATGACACATGCAACTTAGACCAAAACAGGCCGAAACACAATAAAGAAAGTTTATAGCAAACCACAAACAAAGTACATCTACTTACATTTTGTATTATGCACACACTACCAAAGATGAAAATAACCTTGAACCGAATCTAAAAAAACACAACAACAAGATCACACTCCTCGCAGTCTCTCTGCTCGCAGTTCTGAAAAAAAAAAAATACCTGGCCCCTGCCCTGCAAGATGGGGCCACATAAGGGGGCCAGAGTTCTGATTGGTCGCTGCATGCAGTGACAGTTTCCATGCGGAAGATCAAAATTACAAGGCCTTTTTAACAGAGACTGACAAAACAGGAAGGCAATATAAAGAGAGAGGATCACACTTCCTCTCACCAAAATAAATGTTTTTCAAAATAAAATGAGTGCTTTAAAATAAACGAGAAATAAGATATGTTTTCTCTACTGGGTTACACAAGTCCTGGCTTTTATTGGTCACATCTAGACCAGCTTTCATTTTCAGTTTTAAGTCCCGTAACCCTTCAGCCTATTTGAGGATTTAGATGTTTTTGGTGGATAAGCTCGGCTAGGTCTGGCCTAAACCAGGGACTGTGTCTATTTTTATTTGAATTTTTCTCAGTGGGGCATGTTTGCCATAATTGTTATAAACAAGTGTTTGAAATATTTCCAGGCATCATCAACATCAGGGATGATGTCAATCCTGTGGGGGGGGAGGGGGGGGGGAGTGGTGCTCTTGTGCTCACATGCTATAGTGCTATGGTCGCTTAGACTTTGGCAGAACACACCTGAGACATACTTGTCAGGTGTCACCCATGCAAGTGAAAGTGCCCACCCCCTGTGACTGCACCCGCCAATAAGCCCGAAATGCCATATTACCCAGAGTGCCTCTCACCACTTCCTGCTCTGGTGCTTCCTGCTACCACTCACTGTGGCTGTGTGCTGGTCGTGCTCTGGAGTCGGCGTGCTCATTGATCGCTCGTGATATCAACTTCTACTACTACTACTTCTACTTCTACTTCAAAGTGTTCAACCCTCCGCTCAGCAGTCAGTTTTTTTTTACCTCCCTTTGCGACAACAACTCAATTTCAGCACTTCAGCCGTGAGTCTGTGATGGCGAGCTGTGAATGAATACCCCAGCTAGGAGATGGAACTATATATTTTTTTCCTCCCTCTATCTTGCTGGATCTGAACTTCAAGAAAGACTCTTAAGAACTTTGAATCTCAGTCAATACGACTAGTGGACTAAACCCCAAAAAAGAACAATATATAGGATCTCACACCTAAAAATATAATACAATTTATCATATTATCAACTGTATCGTGTGTCCGCTCTTCATTCACTTACCCTATGGCTCTTCAGCGAATCTATTTCTGAAAAAGTTAATATTGCAGTCAGACCGCCTAGCCAACTACACATTACAATTGCCCACGCCCCCGAAGAGACTGTTGAGTATAACATCAATCAGTGTCCCAGTGTCCGTAGACTTGGAATTGTATCTGGTGGGGCTTGTCACACTTTGGGATAGGTTGAGTGTGTTTTACTGTAACTGCACTGATGGTGGAGGGTCAAGCATATCTCAGTTCAGATCCCCTAGACCAGAGGTGTCAAACTCATTTTGGTCCGGTGGTCCGTATCCAACCGACTTTGATCCCAAAGTGTCCGGACCAGAAAACTCATGTCATATAAACCCCAAAAATAACAATAAGTTCAAATATTTGTGCAGAGAAACACAAATCTATTACAGAAATCTTTTTTAACTTATGAACTCAAAAATACAAAATACAAAATATTATAACATTATGAACAACCTGAAACTTTAAGAAAAATGCAATTTCAACACAATGTTTTAACATGAACTTGTAGGCAAATAGAAATTAGAAATAGAAATAGAAGTAAATTTTTGTTGTAAAATCCTGCACTCGGCTCCACTTTTCTCATGTTGGACATTTTTCTGATGAGGGTGTCACGGTCAACAGTCAAAACGATCGTCCTTTAAGAGCGTTTGGAAAGAGACAAGTCTTCATTTGTGCTGCTCTGGTGGGAGGGGCCACGTACAGAGACGCTGGAGACGCTGCTGTGATAAACACCACAGAAAATTAACAAGATTTTAATAGAAAATATCATTCAAATATTTTAGTAGAAAATCAGCCGAGGGCCAGGTTAAAGGTCTTGGAGGGCCGGATCTGGCCCCCGGGCCGTATGTTTGACACCCCTGCTCTAGCAGAATGAGTTGGGAGGTGACATGGGGGGCAGTCAGGTCACTAACTGCAGGTAGAGCGCAGGCAGGTGCTGTAACAGGCAGCCATAGCCATAGAGAAGTTTTTTGACAGGGTAATCTTCATGATAATCAGTTCAAATTGTTTTGCAACAGATTTGGATGCTAAGACTGAACACTGCAAATGAACTTTATAATAGATGGTGACTCCACCCCCTTTGGAGTCTCTGTATCTGGTGGTTTCTATTCTATTCACCAAAACTACTTTTGTGAAAAATGTCTTTAGATCAGATGTCGTTTATTAGAGTCTGGGTTCCATCCTGGAAATATAAATCTTCTGATGAGAAAGTACCTCAATCTTACTAATCAGTGGTCAAAGAGAGGAAATAAAGAGCAGAGGCACAGGTATCTTGGGTCAAACCATGTATTAGATCAAATTACACTTTTTTTTTATTGTAACAGTTTTTACTTTTTCACAAGAAAACAACCTAAAAAAATCACACCTACTTGAATTACATTTGTTACATTTAAAAAGAATCAGGTCAAAATCATTGGCTTAAAGAGAATACAGGACAGTGGTGATGAGTTTGACAAGGATCATCTGGACATTTGAAGCTCCTTTACTCTGTGACAACAATGAATCCAGTAACTTTTTCTAGCAGGAGCCCGTTTTTGTATTTGCAAGTAGCAGCACCGATGTGGGACGTGTCGCTTCTCGCTGTGACACACTGAGTTACTTGACCTTTGGTTGCGTGAAAATGTACAGCTTTCTGCCGCATTCTGGTCACCACATCATCTTTCGTAAACCATGGAGCTTCTAACATGAATTCTCCCAGCTGAAAAGGCTTCCCCGAACTTCAGAGTATTCAGGTACTGACCCATCTCCTCCAGCTGAGGATCTGCGTTCCCCAGAGAGGTGAAGGCATAGACCCAGCGGTCTTCATCTCCTGGATTCAATACAAACTTATCAAGCTCAGCCTGAGTGGAAAACACTAACTCTCCCTCCATTATGTCTAAACACGACTGAACCACACTCACCTCCCTCTCCTTGTCCTCCAGCCACTTGGTGAGTCTGTCCTGGCTGAACGGGGACTTGAGTCTCTGGTCAAAGAGACTTCTGAGGACGCTCTCTTCCACTGTCCCCTCTCGAATGGCAGGACATGTCTCTGCCATCTGCCTCTGCAGATGTACACCATAATAGTGACACAGTTTGTAGAACTTGTGCACCTGCTGCTGAAGCTCAGGGAACTTCCCCACTGCACTGACAGACAAACATTCATTACACCTCATGGTAATGTTTTCCAGATCCTCCAGAGTCTCCTCAGCCTCCAGCACTAAACCTACACTGATGCCTTTAGTCACTGGAACAGGCTCATTTTTAAAGACCTCCAGTGGAAGCAGCCAGACCTTCACAGGAACAGTGTTCACTGGTTCTTTGCCGTCTGCTCCCATCAGCAGCTTGGGCAGAGTCACATAGGTCTGAACAGCTGCATCAAATGTTGCAGGATTGCTCTCAAGAAGAAAATCTCCATAAAACTGAACAGACAATGTTTTAACTAGGTTTTTTTCTTCTTCAGTGAGTTCTACCTTTGCCTCTCCGTGAATATCACACTCAGGAATCTTTTTGATAGTTACCTCCAACTGTCCTTTGACAGTCTGGAGGTCACTAGAGTCTACCTTCTGACTGTCGAACACAAAGAAAGCGTTGGCTCCGTACTCTATCCCTGTGACCACATGTGTGCCCAGGCCCTTCTCATGAATCACACTGTTCTGTATTTTCTCACACACATCTGCTGTGAGGGACAACTGCTCAAAACGAGTGGTGGCCTGGTATTGCAGGGTCACTCTGCTCTGGTTTTTAAATTGTTTTTTGTTGTTCAGGTAGTTGGCTGACCCCCCCACTTCAATCAGGCCACTCAGAAAGCTGAGCTTCAGAGACGCGTTCACATTCAGGTTAAAGGACGTGTCTGCAGTGGAGTCTGACGATCTGACGTCAAAGTGACTGCTCCTCTGGGGCTTCTTCACCGTCAGACTTTGTAAAGTTTGTGAGTCCCAAAGGGCCATTCCTAAAACAAACAAACACTGGTCATTTACAGCACATTCTCTGCACACAGCTGACTGTACACATTTATACTTGTATACTAGTGTACTAGTACTTCTTCTTCATCATTCTCTTGATGAAGTAAAAACACCAGCAGGTTTTAGTTGACTCTGTTCATAAACTGTATAAAGTGAACTGAGGGAGTGTGACGTCACTCAGAGTGTTCAGCTCCTAGTTGGAGCAGTTGTAGAAGTGAATTTGGAGCAGAGTTTTGTATTTGGAATTTCAACCACAACTGTCACAGGAACCGAAGAACCAATCACTCTCAAGCCTGTTTAAGGTAACGCCCCGTCTGCTTCACTGAGCGACTGTCAACAGACGCTGTAAAGAAATGGACTGAGGGAGTGTGACGTATGTACGTAAAACATTAACACCAGGATCATGTAGACTGGGTTAATACAAACATTTTAACAACATGACGAGGCTCACAGCAGCAGTTATAGAGAGAGGAGCCACAATATTCCAAAGTCAATGGGAGCCAGAGTCAGAAGGAGCCGGAAGTTCCTCCACGAGCTCTTCCTATTTGAAACACCGCGGTTAGCAGGTAAAGTATACCCAAGTATTTATACAGTCTATGCTCTGCTTTCATTTGAACGCAGCAGATTTAAAAGGTTTTCATTTATTTTTTTGTTTATTCATTACAGTTACATCACCAGATTCATGGCCCTTAAAGAAGATAAAGCTCGCTGTGCTCCTGCTACCATCATCTCAAATTAGAAACACATTACATTGTCTTTTTCAGTTACAATTTTTTGATTCTCTGTTTAATTACTGATTTGATCATTTGGTTCAAAGATGCATCTGCAGCTTCTGTTGAGAAAAATGCAAAGTGCTTCATAAAGTGTAACAGAAACAGTAACTGACCTGGGATGAGTTGGTCCTTTGGGGCGTTATACAACATGCCCAGAGTGAACGGTCGGCCCAGACCTCCAACAATCATCTGATTGTTTTTAGCCTTTTGCTCCAACTGTGGAAAAACACAACCAAGACATGAGACATGTTTGACAAATAAAAGCTGGACAAAATGGAGAAAAAAACACTGAATTTTCAATGTATGAAACATAATTAAAACAAATAAGTGTAGCTTTTATCATTATGATTTATGAACACAGACAAGAAAGGCCTTTTTAAAATGAAGTCCACAATTTAATACAGTAGATATAAAAGAATGAGAACTTCACACATCAGTTACTTGAGACGGTGCGTTGGAGGAGAGGGAGCAGCCCATGAACATGGAGAAAAATCCCGCACACCGTCTTACTTGCAAATTGTGAGATTTATTAGGACAAACTGTGCAATGTTTCGGCACTAGGCCTTCATCAGGCAAACACAAATCCATAAAAGTCTAAACCAGGTGCTGTTACTGCCCAAAAATCATCTGTACTTAAAATAAAAAGGCCCCTGTCGATAATGAGACTGACCTGATGAGTTTTCATGAATTACAATAATACAAACAGTAAGAAATGGAGCTGCTCAGTGCTCACCTGTGCCATTGTCGTCCTCTGAAGTCTTCTGGGGTACTCTGAACGACAGGTGCTCTGAACGACAGGTGCTCTGAAGGGCAGGTGCTCTGAAGGGCAGGTGCTCTGAACGGCAGGTGCTCTGAACGGCAGGTGCTCTGAACGGCAGGTGCTCTGAACGGCAGGTGCTCTGAACGACAGGTGCTCTGAACGGCAGGTGCTCTGAACGACAGGTGCTCTGAACGACAGGTGATCTGAAGGGCAGGTGCTCTGAACGGCAGGTGCTCTGAACGGCAGGTGATCTGAAGGGCAGGTGCTCTGAACGGCAGGTGATCTGAACGGCAGGTGCTCTGAAGGGCAGGTGCTCTGAGGAAGCAGACAGGCTGCTGTCTTTTATAGGGGCATTGGTTGTTGGAGGAAGTACAAATCATGACTTCATAAGGACATTTTCTTTGACTCAGACAAACTTTACTGAACCAAAAGGGAATTTTTTTGGACACAGTGACTCACAGCATTTTATATTCACGAAGAAAAACATGAATGGTCAAATAAATTCTAAGTGAGGAACAGAAATAGCAAGAGACTGATGTGGAAATATACCAATAAAAATATATCTCAGTTATACAGAAGAGGTCGAAAGGAAAACGGTGCAAAGATGATATGATGATTGGCAGGACACAGGTGTTATATAAGGAAGAGTTGTTGGACAGTTGTAGGGAGTATTATCTGTTACATAAGGGTGAGTCGTACATTTGTACGGTGTATAAACTACAGACTATTTCAATATTTCCGCAGAAATCAGTGAGTCACGTCAGACACTGTTTCAGGGTGTCATAATATATCATCATAATATATCATCATAATATATCATCATAATATATCATCATAATATATCATCATGGGCGGCAGTAGCTCAGTTGGTGGAGCATTCGCCCACTGATCTGAAGGTTGGCAGTTTGATTCCAGCTCTCGACATAAAAAAAAAAACATCACAGGTTGAGTGGTCAGATCCACTGACCCACAGGTTGGCTGGTGTGATTCCAGCTCCCACAGATGAATGCTGCTGTTGTGTCCTTGGGCAAGACACTTAACCCACCTTGCCCACAGTGTCTGTGTACACTAGTGTGTGAATGTGTGTGTGAATGGGTGAGTGGTTCCTTGTTGTAAAGCGCTTTGAGTGCCTTGAAGGTGGAAAAGCGCTGTAGAAAAATGTGACCATTTACCATCATAATATGTCACCATTATGTATCACTATAATATATAACCGTTATGTATCACCATTATGTATCACCATTATGAATCTCCATAATGAATCACCATAATGTGTCACCGTAATATATCATCCATCAGCAGCAGCAATGTCTCATCCCTGATAACCACAGATTAGTTCTAATTACACTTTTTCAGTTTTGAAACATTTCTCTGTTGAAATTTTACATTTGTCGAACAGCTTGCACAAATCCTAAACAGAATTTTAGTTTTTGTAAAGAAAAATTAGGTAAGCAAAATTCACTTTTTCATTTAAAACTGGTCATCACTCAATCATCCTTAATCAACAAAAGCAAGTTTTATTCACTAGCTAGGACCACGCCAACAACAACAAAGTGTGAAGAAGTTTATTGTTAATGTTTGAGGTGACGCAGAGTTGGCTGGGTTGAGACTCTGGCTAGGGGCTCTGTCTCAATCTTCAATTGGCCCAGCCGGCATGGGACCTCTCTCGTAGGCATCTTACGACTTAAAGACAAACAAGGAAGGGGGTGGGACGGCAGGGTCGAGTTAGCCAAGACAAACTGGGGTGATGGGAATGACTGCTACAGATAGGCTTCTAGGATATTAGAGGTGTGGTCGAAGTGAGTTGTGGTTCGCTCATGAGGAGAGGGCGGTGAGGAGATGTGGTCCTGCTCCTGAATCTCAGTTAATCATATTAACTTCACCTATGAAAAGTGTCAGAGTGCTCGTGCGTTTTGTGAGCAGCTCAGAGCCTCAGTCCTGATCTCAGGGACCTGCAGAGTCTGGGGTTAGTGTCTGACTCTGGGCTTCACACTTTACACTGGTGAATTTGAGGCTGGAACCAGTCCATGTTTTTATGTTTGTAAAATAAATAATAGGAGATTTTTCAGTATGTGATTAAAACATATGCTGAGGAAAACTAAAAGTGATGGAATAAGAAAAACATGAACATACTTGTGTCATGCATGAACTTTACACAAGACATTTACATCTCACTACATCTACACTGTACGTAGGATGCCTTTATGTTTGAGATTCTATACTGAAAGAAAAAAATACCGTAATAAACAGCTTCTATATTTCATGGAAATAGGAAGTTGCGGTTATGTCTTATCGCTTTTCACAAATTAAGTTTCACAAGTTTGAAAACCTCATTTACCATCAAAACACAGTTTGGTGACGTGTTTTACTGAACATTATGTTTCTGAGAAATTAAGAATAAACGACTCTGAAGAAACAGCACACAAGTCTAAACTGTCAAACCCACACACACTTTGGACAGTCCCGCCTCCGCTGACTCCATTCTCTGTACCAGCTCCTGTTCCTCATACAACTGAGCAGACGAGCTTCTACTGCAGCTTCTACTGCAGCTTCTACTGCAGCTTCAGCCACTAAAACTAAAGACCTACAACTGAAACAGCGTCTTCTGCTGAGTCGGGTTTAAGAAACAGGTGAGGAGAGCGCTCTTTAAGTCCCAGTGGTTTGAGTGTGACTCTGTGTTTTTACAGTTACAGTTTTTCTGGTGAAATGGGCTTGTATCCGGTGACGGCGGCTCTCGGTCGACCGTTCAGACTGGGGATGTTGAACGACGCACGAACAGATCAGCTCCTACAAGGTCAGCTTCATAATACCATCCATTATTTTATAAACTGTACTAAAATGTATTTTTATATTTCAAATATTGTTAGTAGGTCTATAAAGTTAAGTCAATAATATAAATCTTTTTCTTGAAATGAATTTAATTTGCTCTTTGCATTTTCTTTACGTACAAACACAAGTGTGTTGTTCTGAACATAATATTTAAATCATCTTTACAAACCCGGTGTGAGCGTGTTGTGCTTTAGGACACAGACTCAGTGTGAGTTTAGGCATCGCGCTGCTGTCACAACAAAAGTAAAGTATATTTCTAGTGTCTGTGTTGTAAGTAAGAGTATTTGAGATGTTTTACAAATATAAAATTCACATTTAAAGTCAAACTAACTTCACTTCAGTTGTTCTGCTTTAGTAGTGACATTCACGAGTGTAGTTTTGATCTGTTTTTGATAAATACAACTTCCCCAAACATGTTATAGTTGTTTGTCGAGTTCATCACAGGACAGAGCTTCAGTTCAGTTTGAGTTTTCTGGTGGAGCTCTGTCACTCCCGCAGACATCCACTTGTCGGCGCTGTTGAGCTGGTTTGACTCAGACATTCTCCCAATGCCATTGAACTGGATATTTTCTGACCAATCCCAAACCCAAACTCTTTGATATTTAGGAGCTGCTTTAGAGAAAACTGTTTTTGTCAAAATGAAAAAACAAATGACACAGTCACTTTTTTTTTTCTTTTATCCATATTTTGCTGAAATAATGTTTCATTAAATCTAACGGAGGTTTTTTTTAGGGAGCGCTCTGTGGGTATTCTGCAGTGTTAAAGTCCATGACCCGGACAAGTCCTCAGCCCACAGTCCTTCAGACTCTCCAGCTCAGACTCGGCTGAAGAGAAGGCGTCTCTCCTGGAGATACAGCCTCTTTAAGAGCCAGTGTTCTGTGTGGTTTTGTGGAAGGAGAAGGTTCGGCAAGTTTCTCCAGACAAACAGCAGTTTAAAAACAGAGCAGAGTGATTCGCAGTACAAGCCAGCACTCACTTTGAGCAGCTGTCCCTCACAGCAGGAGACTGGGACAACATGAAGGACAGGGACATGGTGCAGAGGCCTGGCCACACATGTGGTCACAGGGATAGAGTACGGAGGGAACGTTTTCTTTGTGTTTGACAGTCACGTGGTCCAGGAAAGTGAACTTAGGAGTTCAAATTAAGGTGAAGGAGTGGATACTTAATTTTCTTTTCAGTCACTTAATTATGATGAAGACCTCACAGAAGAACAAAAATCTATAGCTGAAAAACTCAGTGAAATGTTACTCAGACTTCCTTCTTGAGCGTTCCTGCTACTTTGGCAGAGGCAGTACAGACCTACAGAGATATGAGCAAACTCTGGGAGAACATGGAGAGAGCTCAGTCCCAGTGAGAGTGTGGATGGTGCCAGTGACACATCTGAACCCTGCAGCTAATGGGTTAGTCAGTAGACACATCAGTGTAGGTTTAGTGCTGGAGGCTGAGGGACTCTGGAGGATCTGGACAGTTTACTATGAGGTGTAATGAATGTTTGTCTGTCAGTGCAGTGGGGAAGTTCCCTGAGCTTCAGCAGCAGGTGCACAGGTTCTCCAAACTGTGTCAGAGTTACAGTGTAGAGCTGCAGAGGCAGATGGCAGAGACATGTCTGCCATTCGAGAGGGACAGTGGAAGAGAGCGTCCTCAGAAGTCTCTTTGACAGAGACTCAAGTCCCGTTCAGCCAGGACAGACTCACCAAGTGCTGGAGGACAAGGAGAGGAGGTGAGTGTGGTTCAGTCGTGTTTAGACATATGGAGGGAGTTAGTGTTGTCCACTCAGGCTAAGCTCGATAAGTTTGTGTTGGCTCCAGGAGATGAAGTCCGCTGGGTCTATGTCTTCACCTCTCTGGGAACGCAGATCCTCAGCTGGAGGAGATGGGTCAGTCCCTGAATACTCTGAAGTTGGGGGAGACTTATGAGCTGACAGAATTACAGTCAGCAGAGTTCCATGGTTCAATAAAGATGATGTGGTGACCAGAATGCGGCAGAAAGCTGTACATTTTCACAAAAACAAAGGTCAAGTAAACTCAGTGTGTCACAGCGAGAAGCGGCACGTCCACATCGGTGCTGCTATTACAATACAAAAATGGCTCCTGGTAGAAAATGAGTAACTGAGAAACCAAGTGGAGTAACTGTTGTCACAGAGTAAAGAGCTTCAAATGTCTAGATGATCCTTGTCAAACTCATACCACTGTCTGTATTCTCTTTAAGCCAATGATTTGACCTGATTCTTTTTAAATGTAACAAATGTAATTCAAATAGATTTTCACTTTTTATGTGAAACCCAAAACTGTTAGATAAATCATGATCTAAAAATGTATGTGTGTGTGTGTAGCTCTTGGAATATGAATGATGTGCACTTACAGTGAAATGTAAAAAAGAAATCACTTAAATGATGAATATATATTACCAGTAAAACCAGGATTGTGAAAATCGGTCAAGGATTGAGAAAGTTATGATATTTTTGATATATATT